GCTCCTATGAATCGGACATTAAATTTCTACGACATACACGGTGCAAGAGTTACCCTTGACGGCCATTATCCTTCGAATCGTCGGCGACGAACACGATTTTAGGGTGACGCATACACTACGCCTCAACCTTGAGATGAGTGTCTGGAGAGGCTGGCATTGAGGCTCGTGGGCGGGGACGCGAGAGCCGTTTTATTTTGGAACGAGATAAGCGATAACAGACGTTCCTCTTGATAATGTACACGATTTGATATTCATTGGAGATTAGACCCGTTTTCTCGAAACGGCCATACGTGCTTTCTCTGGAAAAGAAACTCTTTCTCTTGTTTCGCTTTTCTCTTCAATTTTAACGCGTTCGTGACCTGCGTTTCTTTCAGTAGCAACCTTCACAGTTACAGTATTAAATTGAATCTAACGAATCGTTTTAATGAAGTACAGATAAAATTCAGGAAAAGAATCTTTAAATTTAACTCTGAATAAAAACACATATCAATATAATTCAATTCTTTTTACCCAAGATACAAAATGTTAGGCGTCACAAATACGTGACGTTGGTTGTGAAAGTGTTAAGTCTCAGTTAGAAACTGAAAGGAATCGTTCGCCGCGTTCTTACGAATAACAACGTTTGACAAACGAATCTTTCAAAATTACTCGATCTACGTAAGAAGGTTCCGAGATGAATTTTCGTACGACTCAGTGCCGAATAAATTTGTAGGTCATCGTTCATTTCAAATGAGAAGCGGTGAATCCTGACGAAAGGTCCTTCAACGCCGCTCTAGTGGACGCATATAGCTTTTGATTGTTCGATTCGCAGCGTTGCACGGAAGATCCCGCGGCCGCATCGTTTTTCCGCGACTACAAATTGCACTGTCGCGCTGCAATTTGTTCAACGTAATTGTGGGCTCGCCGGATAATTTTCCGTAATTTGTTTTCGAGGGGGAGACCTTGGGTCCCGTTCGAATTAATTACTTTTCCCCGACGTCGCGTTGGCCTGGATTACGCGCGATAAACGCCGACGTGGATTAATATTTAAATAAAAACAAAAACAAACGGGATGGAGTCACCGATCTCGCAATTTCTTTCCGCTCCCAATCGTCCTAATTTCCTACCGTATAATTCGAGCGGCTCTTACCGGAGACAGCCCGTGTGTAATTACGACAAATTGATCGTAAACGCATCAGTCCTGATTATCGCGGCCCCGCAGGACTCCCTTTCACGAAATCGTCGCAACGTGTTGCGGTGGTTGAGTTACTTTTCAGTGATTGAAACGCGACATACATGCTATTGCTCGGGATCAGATTTCATTAATTAATTTACCCGTGCATCGGAAAGGGCCGTGTGTATATTCCTAGCAATTATTGATTGTGCAACAATATCAAGTTTCTAAATCCTTTCCTAACACGAGAAATAGGATTACCAGACGAAAACAGAAAGTACTAAGGGACTTTGTCGTTCCTGTCCGCCATCACAGGTTCCGGCGAACGCTCCAACAAAATGGCCGCCGGCAACCGGCGCGAAACCAATACGTTGAGAACAAAATTATCCGAAAATTTATACTGAACAAGGCGAGAGAGGTATTAAAAAATGATCAACGTGTAGACAGACGTGCCAACCATCGATCCAGGAAAAAAGAATGAAGGAAAGGGTCGGCACGGTGATGTGCGCGCACCGGAATTCGCCCTCGAAAAGCGGAATCAGTAAAAGACCGGTAGCCTGCACCGTGGTAGGCGGTCGGCGAGCAACATGGCGGCGGTCGGTGGTGGTTTGGTGGTGGTCGGGTGCGCGCGTCGCCGACATCGTGGTCCAGGGTCGTGCATGCCCGCTTTCTCCGTTTTATGGACCAATCGCATCGCGCCTGGAGGAAGAAAATCAATAGGCGTAAAGGCATGGATGACGTCAGCCTGCAACCCCGACAATCGACCGATGCGACGCGGGCGGCGCCGGCCAATTTCTACGGAGCAATCAATAAGTAAAGATGATATCCACGATGTCGGCGAGCAGAACCCACGGTTCCTTTCCGACGACACCCGATCATAACGCAGCGTTACAGTCAAGGTTCCGTGGAACCCTGGTCTCTTGTGATCAGAGACCAAGGCTGATGGCGGAGCGTCCTCGCAGAAACCTCTGGAACCTTTGATCTCCGGGCGTCCCCAAATTGGGAGACCTTGGGCTAATACTTACAGGCTACGTTCACGAGTATCTCCGTCACTTTCTCTGTGACGGTGGGCAAAAGAAGAAAGTCTACACGCGAAATATCTAAAGCGACCAAGCTGTAATTTTGGTATACAATGCTAACACGGTTGAACATTTCGTTACTTGAAATAGTGACATAATAACCGGGGGTTGCTATCTTTCGTCTAGAACTGTTACTTGGGTTTTGATACTTCGATCGCTGTAGAATCTTTAATATTAAGCAAAAAATATTCTACAGTTTACCAAGTGAAATGATCTTTGCATGGTTCCTGTTTGTCTTTGAATTTCGTTTCTGATTGTGATTCAACGCTTCACCCACCGCAAGCTTATTCGTAGGTTTATTCGATCACCGTGCTGTGCCCAAGGGAAGCTAACTCCTTTTTAATATAAATACAAAAGGAAATTATTAGATTATGTTTCTGGTGAAGGCTAGTTAGTTCACGGTTACAATTGCTTCTTAAGAAATCCCTAGCGGTGAATCATTGATTTTCAAGTCGTTAAATAACCGCCGGTAGGTGAAGTATTAGCTACACGTTATACAATTTTCTAAAGAGCTACATTTGCGATGGTATCACTTAGAGACGCAGGCGCAGTGGAAATCGGTTTTGGAAAAAGGAGAGTCTCGCCTCCGTAAAGGTCCTCTGTAGCGGAGGCATTGTTGATAACGCGACGGTTGGTTCGAATGCGTTCCGCCATTACTGTTAAAAACGTTCCGAGTTTCGCTACAGTGTACACTCGCCTGATAGGTCATAGATCCGGCGTAAATGCATTGTTCATGAGGAATTTAAAATATTTAGTTAATTGAAAATCAATTTTGCGTCAACGCCTCCAAGATCGCAGGTAGTATTAACAAATGCGTCATTATTTCTGAGCACTCTTAAAAATTAAACGTTATTTAATTAGTGGTTTAAATAAATATTAAATCTATAAATTTATTTTATAATTCTAATATATTAATTTTTGATATTGCAATTGTATTATAATAAATATTTAAGTTACTTTTAAAACTATAACGTAAGAGAATTTTTTCAAACTGTAATGTAGTAACATGTTGCATACACATAGTACAGTTGATATATACGTTGATATTTTATGAACGTCATTCTGGAAACGTGACTGAGACATCATATGTCTTCAGTCATAAAAGAATAGTAAATTCTACTGTACCACGGTTTATGCTTTCTAATAAGCGAAGTTACCATTCGATCCCCTCCGAACGTCAATGTATTAAAGAGGAAAAGAAAAAATATTATTTAAACATTCTACATACGTGTCGCTAAAGAATCGCCATTTACAAAGGCGAATACAATTTGGAATTTGTAAAAACAAAAATTCTTACAGATACTTAGAACTTCCGCTGACAATTAACAATATCGAATATTCAGTTCAATTAACGTGCTAACGCAAGTTAAAATTAATTAAAATAAATTTACTGAATATTAATGCGCGTTAATTAATGGCCCCTCGAGGCAGGCATACCTACTTGCACATACGCATGCGTTTCGACGTAGAATTCAAAAAGATCTACAACTACGAATAAAAAAAGGAAAAATGGTAGGGGGATTTGGAATCAGAGTTTGTTTGCAGCTGAAAGTTATAATGCGACACCGAACCAATTTACAGGCAATTACCACTATCTTTACTTAGAATAATATAATCCCTATCGGCTCGCGACAATAATTTTTATTGACCTTATTCAATTCGATAGCACTCGCCTACGTGAACTAAAAGACTAGAATATTTAATCTAATCTGAAACAATATTTTCGTCGGTAGCATGGTCCATCCGTAACCCCTTATTTCTCATCAAATAACGTTTCCCTTCTAACCTCCCTATTGAACAATTATTCTGTCTTCTTTATCATAATTTTCCAGATTTCTTTTTTCCCACTATTTTCCCTAGTTTCAATTTTCGATTTGAAACTGTGTTCGCATTTACTAGATACTCGACATTCGATCCCACAATGCGCGTCCTTAACGAACTTATGTCGACGAGCGAGCGAGTTTAATTTACGAGCCGCCGCGATCTTTTCAGCACCAGCCTTCCGCGAGGTTGCACTTGTATACTCTAATTTTCGAAACTCTCCCCCCAGAAGTGTGTTACAGTTCCTCTGTAACGATCCGTGGCCTGGGCATGTTTGTGCGAAAATATATCAAGAGGCCGTGCTACGTGCTTCGCTCGCGAAAGGAGGGGAAAAAAATGTTGCGAAAAAACCCTGTGACAGAAATGAGTCGATCCCGACCCGCGTCGACTGGGGCGAGAGCGCCACCTTCGATCGTAATTAACACTTCCGGCGATGCACTAACATCGTGAATCATCCGTGCCATTCTGCGGGCATAGGCACCCCGTTAACTGCCCCCTCAAATTCATCGCACACGATGATGTTCATCGACTGTACTCGCTCGATACGGGCTACGACCGTGCAATGCCGAAAGCGAATATAAGATAGACCTTTTCATACGTTTCAAACCTGACGTGTCATAGATATAGTCTGTCTTATATTTCCAATATGAAACGACACATCGTCGATGTGAATCGTTCAATAAAATTCTGGATACCGATGGGATTACCCCTAAGAAACTGCGGTTCGCGAGATACGAATACAAAGCGATTTGTACAAATCAACTCGTATAAACAAAGAAGAAAGAGATAATCTGTAATGCAGAACTTGACGTTTGGACGTTCCGCGATACATGACAACAGGAATAAACCTGTAACGGCTACGAAGATACCAGTGACTCGTTTGCGTCATAACAATGAGTACTTGTGATTAGTACAAGCGCGTAAAGCAACAAAGATATCTGACTCACCAGATATGTAGGCAGTGACGTGAAAACAGCTGAGGTACTCCGGCCATACTGGTTCTGATTCCGCGACGTTCCTACAGATACGGCGTGTACGAAGCGACGCGAAGCGGCTCGAGTCTAACCGATCGATTATCAAAGCCGCGCGCCGTACGTCTTTTTCTTCTTTCTCGGCGCTCGCTTGTGCAGCTTTCTAACCGTGTGGCGCTGATATCTGTCCCCTTTGTGCGGGTCTTCTAAGTACTTCGCGCGAACTTCTATCGTGTCGAAATACAAAGTGAATTGAACACGTCATGTAATAGTTATCGATGTATGGTAAATTCGAACTGCGCGCGCGTATCTACCGGGAAACTTCTCAAATTCAACTTCGATTTTTGAAATCGGACATTATTTTTTATGGTTGACATATTTGAAATATGATTAATTGCGGGTATATTGAATTGAGGGATATTATTGAAGACATTTTATAACGTACGATGTATCTTGCGAGAAAAATATGATAATAATATAATAGATTAAACAGTGTTTACTGTTGATTTCATTCTTATTACATGGTATGTGTACATTACATACTAAAAGCGTGTATAGAAAAACACAATTATCTTCATAAAAACAGTACGAAATAGTGATTTTGGAAAGAAATTCGTACTACGTAGGAAACACTTTCGACGCTATCGTATTTATAATCTGCTTTCTGGAAGTGATCATTCACTTTAGCATCCACCAGCATTCTTGTAGCGGGCATTAACGTCATTCCAATTAACAATATCGAAAATCGCTTTTACGTAATTGGGTCGAACGTTTTTGTATTGCAAGTAATAGGCGTGTTCCCAAACATCGATACCGAAAAGCGGTACCAGACCGGTTATAGCTTGTAACGGGTCTTGATTAGCGCATGTGGCTATCCTTAATGATTTCGATTGCTTATCATATCCAAGCCAGCCCCAACCAGAGCCTTGAACAGCGACAGTACTGTCGGATAAGCGTTTCTTCATCTCCTCCATGCTGCCAAAATCCTTTTCAATTTGTTTAAGAAGAGCGCCTGTAAAATAAAGTTGTCTGTTATCTTTGCTGATCGGAAAAAATAAAACTATTTCACGCTTTAGATTATTTCTACGCTTTTACCGTCCGGTTTACCGCCATTTGGCGATAAATTGCACCAAAAGATTGAATGGTTTAAATGGCCACCACCATTGAATTTTAATGCAGGGCCTAGCGTGATTTGTGTGTTTACGTCGCCCTTAGCTGCAGCTTCTTTCATTTTCTCTTCAGCAACGTTTAAATTATTTACGTAAGTTGCGTGATGTTTCGAATGATGAAGTTCCATGATTTCGGCAGATATGATTGGCTCCAATGCCTTATAATCATAGGGCAACTCGGGCAGCGTATGCTTGGCCCTAAACGCCTCTTTACTAAAAACATTAAATGACATTAATGTTTCATGTGTATAATATTTAATAAAAAAAATAAAATAGAACGTTTTTTTATAAATATTAATTCTGTAACGAATTGATGTTATTTTATAAATATCACGTTTTAAAACTATTTACGTGAATTATGAATGCAATAATTATAATAAACATGATAAATTTTAACTTTTATTTAAGAAGCGTTCATTTTTAACACCGATAAAAATTGTCTTATTTACAATATAAATACTTTTTTTACGGCGATATTTGAACGGCGATTAAAAATTAATTATAAATTTTATTCACGAAAACATTGATAATTTCAATGCAATATTGACAAGGTACTTATCTAACATATATCTGTATGCCAGAGGTCAAACTAAATTTGTACAGGATTTTATATTCATCATTAATTTGAACAATTAAAAAATATATAATATACGACCTGAAAATTTTTAATTATTTTAATAAATACTTTTTTTTACTAGATTTTCTATAGGATATAACAAATATGTGAAATAAATGTAATAAGCGTTATTCATGAATATTTGATGTAGTCTAATTTTAACGAAATATATTCTTAATTTGGTACAGAAATTGTAATCGAAAAATATATTTAATTAATAATGAAAAATGATGTTATAGAGTGTTGAGTGAAAGATTACATGTATGCATATATTTATTTAAACATGTGCCTTAAAATGTAAACATCAGATTTTTATTTCACTGCATAAATATAAAAAACGGAAACGTAATGTCATCGAAAGGTAAAACTTTGCTAATAATGATAAGGAATTGCGCAGATTATAGGTTAGAAATTATATAATATATTTAGTATGAGAAACAGTATAAACTTACATTGTACTGCATAACAAAGCACGTCTCGTCGCGAACATAATTGTAACTTTAATGGGCAAAATTGTTTATTCAGAAAAATGTAATGTAAGAATGTGAAGTACCGAATACCGGAACTTCGATTGTCCACCTATCGTGCTTCACTGCAAGTATATTAATACCACCACAACCTTAAGATATGTACAGACATTGCACACAAATGTTCTTCTCTGACCACTGTTCTGAAATACCGACACTGTCAAAAATATCTCAATACACCAGCGGGCTCTAGCCAAATTGACGATCAGATACCGAACTACATAAGATTGTAACATAAAAGATGTATGACTTGAGAGGCTAATTTGGTTCAAACAATGCAACATTGTTACTTCTAAAGACAAATTCATATGGAAATTATCGAGATTGAGAACGAAAACGTTATTATTCCCTTGTTCATGCAACGTACATGCCATAGATTGGCAAAATCAAATATCAAATCGCGACTAAAATCAAAACACAAGTCATAAATTATTCCATTAAATAATTTGTATATATTTGTTAACTGATTCAAAAATAAACTTAACTTCATTTTACATTGAAATAATACATAAACATTTAATTAAAAAATTAAGAATTGGTGAACATGAAGTAATATGTGTTTATTCCATCTTTTTTATTTAAACACTATACCGTTCTATACAAAAATTTTTGTACAGCTATTTAGTCAATGCATTAAATACAATAAGATGTACAACGTGTCACAAAATTAGATGTCACGATTACTAAGGCGTGATTCTCTACTTTCGATTTAATGGAGATGTAAAGAAAAGTTCGCAAAATTCATTATGATTGAAATGAAGGTCAACGTTTTTTATTGCTGCATCGTAGTCATTGCAGAAATAAATAATCTGAAAGGAATCATGGATTGGAAGTGATTCATTTACTTGTAAATTGCTGTTGAGGTTCACATAGGGAGAGTAAAGAACGCGATATTCAGTATTCTTTTCTGGTACACGAATATCGATTGGTCGAGGTAGCAAGTGCAATGACTGCGTCTGCTATGGTGCAAAATAATTAAATGTGGCGCAATTTGTTCGTACATCTAAATGGAGAATTTGATCGATAAACAATGACATTTCCATTTTACATTTTTCTAAAGGAAGTCCTATGGTGTCAAGTCCAGTAATCCATCGTGTAATAAAAGAGAACATTGGATATTGCGAATATGAAAATGAACATCATATTATCTTTTTAGTGATTCTAAATTTTAATACATAAATTTTCTAATTATATGATCAGACAAAATAAATTTGATTTATTATTTTAAATAATTTACTCTAAATTTTGAAGGATTTTTGATAAATCAGTATCTACAGTAGTAGCGATTGATTTATATGAAATTTAAATTTCTATTGAATTATCTACTAAGTATCGTCCAGTTATTAGTTATTTTTTTTAAATTATACTTTCAATACGAAATGTATTTACGTTGAATATTATATACAAAAATTTTAA